GTAGATCCCATTATAGCAGTTGCGGGTTGGTTCTACTGAGCCAGAAGTTTTAATAATTTCTAAAACCTTGCTCATTTTTGTATCCTGTACCTGCCAAATACTTTTGAAGGGAACAGCGTGTTACTTCAGAAATGAGGATCAGAAGAGCTAGTATTGGGAATTTCCCAAAAGACAGACAACACGATGTCAGAGAAATCAATGAAATAAGTGTTGATTATTTCCACCTGGTGATGGTTAAATCGTTACAGAAAAAAAAAGTGGTCGTCAGCTAGTTTATTCTCTCTCATTTATTTTTTTCTCTTTCTATTGAGGTAATAGCATCACTAATTTAGTGATTTCCAGAAATCAAACCTAAGATCCTTGGATTTGAAAACCTCTATCTGGACTGCTTGAGTTAAAGGAATAGGAAAATTTATTAAACCAAATGACACAGACTTTTATATGAAACCTCACTGTTTTCCAGGACAGAGGACCACACAGGGCATGAGATCTACAAATATTTGTAGGAATGAGTCGTTACTTGTACTCAGTGTTGAGACAGAGGCTGTTCATCACACAGATGCCCGAGGTGTGTGTGAAAGGCAATTTGATGTTCGTAATTCTCTGTTTCGTTCTACAGTAACAAACGTTTCAGTGAAGAATCTTATAGTATGAATAATTGAAACTGAGTAATTTGCAAATAACTTAGACATATCTGGTTTGTTTGGTTTTTTTTAAATTATCTGAACAGTATACTAGTTAGATTTACCAGGGAAAGCTAAATCCAGTTAGTTCACAAATGGAAAACCTGTGCAGTATTTAATAGATCGCTTAAATATTTCTGATCAGGGCATCCCCGAGGTACCTACTGCATAACCAGCAAAGACTTCAGAAGTCATTGCTTCCACAGACCCCTCTTTGTCATTGCCTTCACCTGTACAAACGCAGCAGTAGGTGCTATAGCTGTTACATTTTAAGATTGCAGTTTAACCAAGATTGCTTTTTACGGTGCTAAAGGGATCAGAAAATGAAAGGAGCACTTAGTGAATGTCAGTTAGCTGGATCTGTGATTGCTAGATGAGCTAGCACAGGGAATACTCGGCAGCACCCCAGTTGTGTGCCTAAAAGGAAGAATCCTTCAGGCCCAGATGAGGTGAGAGACATCTCTGGAGAAGACAAGGCATTCCCCAGGCTGCATGGCTGCCCAGTGCCCTTTCCTGCACCTACATTTCACAGGCATTTCTGCTGTGAGCCAGGCGTATTACAAACAATTAGTATAACATAGCTTGCAGATCAAACGAGCGCACAAAGAGCAGCATTTATGTTCATTAAATTAATCCTAGTCTTTTATGATCGATGACGACTCTTGTTTTAAGGGGAGGCTATTTTTAACTGAAAAAGGAGCAGTCGGGAAAAAAATCTCGATCATCTGCATTTTTACAGTTACAGCAAAATCTATCAGTGAAATTTTGCAAAACACAGCCCTACATATGCATTTTTTGGCACTGCCTGGGGCAAGAATTCCCAAATGGCTGTGTATGTACCACTGAGAATATATACAGACACCTCGGTGTGGGAAAAGATACAGCACAGAACCAGGACCTGTTACCACTGTCAGTACAAAAAAGTGCAGGAATCTCTCAATGAGGAATTTCACTTGGTTTTCAAGTCAAAAACACTTGCATTACAATTTTCAGGTTGGCATAGGGTATTGTTTAAGTTATTTTTCTGCATTCGTTATTTCCTCTGTGCTTTTATGCTCTGTAAAAGCTTTCAGGACCAACTATTCCACTGTTGATAGGTCACCTCCCTTTAAGGTGATCATATCAAGTTCTGGACTGTTCATTTCCTTTTTTTTTTTCCGTGTATGATAATGTATTTACAGATTATACATAGTTTGATGGTTTATGTTTTCCCATCTTTTCTGAGGCAGAAAAAACCTGGACTTCGTTCTCTCCAGTCTGCTGAAAGATGCCATTTAGGGCACTGGTCAAGTCACGGCCCAAGTGGCTGGCTGGTTAATGGCTACAAAACCAGTTCAGCATGTGGCCATGCTCTCTCCCCTTCAACTATTTGTGTTCACATCTTTAACCTTAAAAGCTCACAGTCTCATTGCATGTGTCCTCAAAGGGTTTACTATGTTAGGATTTCATTTATTGGTGCTGTTTGAATAGAAGTTATTGTTTTTATCGAGTCACTGAAATGACAGAATTTATGAGAAATAGTGCATATGGACACAGATTTTCAACTTTCTTTCATTTCACTGTTACTACAGCATTTTTAGTTTGGGTCTGTTGTAATTTCATGTCATCCCTACCACATCCTTTCTTCACACCCCCACTTGCAGAGCACCTTCTGTCTCTGCTCTTGCTCCCCAACTGCCTTGACAGCCTGCACAGAGTCGCTGGAGGCGGGGATGTTGCTGGTGTCTTGGCTTTGCATTCCTCAGTGTGGTTTCGTGAACTTAGATGGAGGGCTAAATTAGCGTTTGTAACACAAGCTGGCATTTAAAAAAACTTGCTTTTGTTTAATAGAAGTCACTTTTTTATAAGACTGAACTATAGAGCTGCAACATTGCTATATAATTCTGTGTAATCACACGTAGAGCCTCAAAGAGAACTGGTGACATCTGGTAACTATAAAAGCAAAGCTCAGGTGATTTTTCAGCGTTATCAGAAACCTGACATGGGTACAGCTTCATTCAGGATTTTGTTGAGTGTGTGTGTTACTTTTAAAAGCAGTCTGCTTTCATACGAGCCTTATATAAATGCTATGGTAGTACAAGAAATGAGGAGGTAATTAGCTATCGGTCGGTGGGCTGGTTGAGCTGTTTCTGTTGTGTTTGTTTTTCTTTTAATTACAATTGTATGGGAGGATTTTTCCAAGAGGAGTGAGGAACACAGTGTCGAAGAGCACCCACTTAGGCAGTTTAACTCTGTTGATTTTCAGTATTTGGATCTTACCTGATAAGATTATAGGAAAGTTTGCCTCAACTGCTGGAGACGCATGAGTGAGATTGCTCTTCAGAGGCAAAGTAGCCAGGAGTTTTGTTGTTTGTCACCTAATAGGTGCTTTGGTAATAGTTTCTTAGCATTGAGAGAAACAGTAAAACAAGATTCATTGCAATAACATAACTGGGTTTTGTGCTGAGAGGTCCTTCTCTCACGTGCAGCCAGGTGAGATGTGCTGCTCTTTGGGTATGTGGCAGCTCAGTACTGGACAAAGAGATTAGCTGTGTGCCACAGTCCAGACATCTGCTGGCAAAGGTGGGCCTTGAAATACTACGGCAGCAAACTGAAAAGCCCACAAGATACCAAATGCAATAATGAGAGGTTAAAAGTCATAGTCAAAATTAAGCCTACAGTAGATCCACAGTAACCATTTTCTGCTTTTTTACATTTTCTGTCGATGTTTGTTGTTTGCCATTTTTGTGCCATCCACCTTCCGATTGAATTAGAAACCATGTTCCAATTTTCTGAGCTGCCAACTCACAAACCAGCTGCTGGCTTTTTTAGCAGTCAACTGCTAAAAAAGTCAAGTGCTTCTGGACAACAGCTAAGTTTTCCCGTTCTTCTCCAGTCTTAAGTAGATTTGCCGATTTATCTATCAGGCGTTTTGAAGTCCATTCCTTTTCAAGAAGGTATTGTTACTTTTGTTGTTGAATAGTTTAAATACATATAACTATAAATGAAGTGAGATCTAATTCTCTAGTTCTGGTTAGTTGCATGACATGTATTTTTATGTACATAGAGATTTCAGTGTTCAGTGATCAAGCCCTAGATCTTCCAGATGCAGACTGTGTAGGCTCAGTGCTTGATTTCTTCTTCATGGTGCCCAGTAATGTGCTTAGGTGTCCTACAAAACTGGTAACGACGGAAAAACACTGCCCTGCAGATCTTACAGTCTATTTTGGATGCAGCAGGAGGTCCAGCAGCTCATAAACTAGACCAGGACATAAAGGGCAATACAGGGTAAGAATTGGACCAGGGATTAGGTAAATGATACTGCAGTTTTTCAGGTGTTTTTTGCTGTGCTTTATTTTTGTGCTTTGTAATAATCCTACGTAATTCTGCTTGTAGGTGGACCTGCCACTTCCTAAAAAGTATCCAAAGCATCTCAAGTTCCCCCAAAACCGGGGGAGTGCCATGAAGGGAAGATAGGGTCCAGAAAAGAGAGGACAGAGGCTGTTATCAGGCAGAGGAGAAAAACAGTGGCAAAATAAAACGTGTAGGGGTAGATTATCACAGAGGAATACATACCTCGGTTTCAAATGTGGGAGGCATTCTGTTTCTCAGCTTGTTTTTGCTATCTATCTACAATCATAATTGAGCTAGCTGCAAAAAGGATCTTGTAAACAATTTGAGTGAGAGAGAGAAAGCATTAGTGTGGAGCGAGCCCAAATCCCATCCTCCAGCCCACACACAATTGGACATTGCAGTGATATGGGGGAAATCCCTTAACGGACAAAACTATAAATGAAACTACTGTTGACAAGGGGAAGAGGCACAGCTATATTTAACGGAAGTATTTTCATTTGAGAGCTGCTTTCTTTTTCTTCTTTTTTTTTTTTTTTTTTCTTGTCTAGTCGGTGGAGACTGCGAGGGCTCTTCCTGTTTGAGACAGTGCATGGGGTGGTTTCCCCAAGGCTTTTAATGTTAGATTAATGCTCTGGAGACAGTGTGGTGATAAATGGGTTCCTACAGTTACATCTACATCCTGTTCCCCCTTCCCCCTCCCGCATCTGCCCCACGTACAGTCGCTCTGCAGCTCTTGCCTTTGTACCCAGCAACAGTTTTGAGCGGCTTCAGCCAGTGTTTGAGGCACCACTCTTTAATCTGTCCACCAAAACTCTTAAATTTTCAGTGCCGTCACCTTCATTACCCCTTATTTCTAGGACAGTGACAAAAGCGAAATGGGGAAGAGAAAGACTCCTGGTTAAAGGAGGGGCCCCCGCACTGGCCTGGCATCTGCTGTTTGGCAGATCCCAGTTAATGACTTTTGCTCTTACTGTTCACTTTCAGAAAACAGGGTTTACAGGAGTAGCCCTTCTGTTGTTTCACGTTTTAATGGCAATGCTCTGCACGTCACATTGTACTCAGCAATAAACGAGCAAAGGATTCGAAATCTCCTCCCTGGTATAAGGGAATGGCTCCCCTGTGTCAGCTGCGTCTATGGCTTGATTTTATACAACTCACGCACCGATAGGGATTTAAGTATTTATCTTTAGAAAACACCCACACTAAAACGTAGCAAGGGAAGTGAAAATTTGAGGCACTGTTTTTAGCTGGACTTGCCCTTGTGGCGATTCCTGGGTTTTTATGTATTTGGGTTTGTTTTCATTTAGTACAGTTTGCTGGTTATTTTTCTCTGCGTGCATTTCCATGTCTATACGGCTTCCCCTATATGTGCAGGGGAGGGGGATGGGCGGTGGCAGTAGGGGGTGGTCAGGATGGCTCTGGTTAACCTCCCTGGCTCCACGCAACCAGCCCGCGTCCTGCTTACGCGGCAGCGTCTCTCGGATCGGAATTATTTTTAGACCGTGAAGGTGTATCTGGCTGGTGCATTTAGATTTCATGTCATGGCTTCCTTTTCCTGCTCTCAGGTTTCTCCCACTCGGCCTTCACCTTCGGTATCGAGAGCCACATCAGCCAGTCCAACATCAACGGAACACTAGTGCCACCTGCCGCACTCATCTCCATCCTCCAGAAGGGGCTACAGTATGTGGAGGCCGAGATCAGCATCAACGAAGTAAGTACTTACCCCAGCTGCTGCCGCTGCCGCCGTTGACCGACACACCGCACCAGGGCTGGCGAAGCCACGCGTCCAGAGACACCGCCACCCATCGAGTTTCACTTGATCTGGTTGCGTTTTGTTCCTCATGCTTTGCCCCACCCCCAGCAGAGAGCTGAAGAGCTCTGATGTAGAAACGTATTTCAGTTTTTAGCTGTGGCATTGAGGCCTTCTTTGCACTGCTTTAAATGGCTTTTATGGTGTTTCTGCAACCCCAGTCAGCCAACCCCGGGTGTGTAGATGCTTGCAGCAGACGAGAAAACGTGTCTGGTGTTTACAGTCTTGCATTTTCAAGGTCGCAGCAGAATGTGGCAGGAAAAGCCTGCAGGGTAGGTTAAAACTTCACTCCCTGACACCTGCTAGCAGGCAGCACTGCTTGCAAACCATGGGAAGCCCGATCAAAAATCCACAGAGTTCACTGGAGAGATTCTCTCTGATTTCAGTGACTTTGGCTCAGATCGTCTAAGACCAGGCATCGTCCCCTCATGTACGTGGTGAAACGGTTGTGTGTAAATTCTGACCCTGGCTGGGGCACTGGTTGTCTATGGGGATTGTATGAGCAGCCACAAAAGTGTCTCTGTTCTCCTTGAACTGCCAGAGGAAACAAAGAGGGGATGTGGGAAAAGCCAGCATTTTTGCCCTGCCAACCTTAAAGGCGTGATGCTTCGAGAGGGGGTGAAGCATGACAGATAAACAAGTACTGCATTACAAAATATTTACCGTAGATACTCATAATTGACAGAGATCTGTAATAAATATTAATGCATTAAAAGCTATTGCTTTTTCCTCTATAGCTGAATGTAGAATGTGAATAGCATGGGTGAGAACAAAGGAATATGAAATAGAGAAAATGTTGTGTTGTTTGCAATGTGTAGTTTGGAAACTCATTTGTTTAATCACTAACGTTCTGTGTGGGTTTCTTTTTATGCTCGATACCGTGTTTAAGAGTTGTATATGTGTTATTTTTCAATTGGGGCAATGACATTTGACATTCATGCCAAGCTGCACTTTGATGCAGTTGTAATAACAAACCAGTGTTAGGAATCTGTCCCAATTTGCTGCTACTTAACTTTTTGCCCTGTGTCTGAAATTGGATCTACACAGTTAGAAACTTTCAGCCATGAACAACACCTATCGGCTCAGGTCGTATGACAGCTGTAGGGGGTCTGCTCCTGTGCACCCGGCTTCAGAATTGGCAGAATAACCAAAAAAATACGCATGTTGTCACCATTATGGTTTGTGCTGCTCTCGTCGTGGTTTGATTCTGTTCAAACAGATACTTGTAAGTACATTACAGCAAAGCAAAGGGCATTCTTTCTGACATCTGAATGCCAGTAGTGTCTATGTATATGTTTCTCTGTGTGTATTAAAAAGTGGTGAGTAATCAGTAAGTCTATAACTGTATAAAATTAAAGTATTGTTTGTGATCTGTGAAAAGGCAGTCATGGAAATAGTCCAGTGAGCAGTTTTAAAGTAAAAAATGTAAGATGCCAAAATCCATTGGCAAACATTTTTTTTGTTGTGTAACATGGACTTGAGCCAGGATTCAAATAAATGTCCTAGAGACATTTACATTAAAAATGCTGAGGAGAAAGACGGCTTATATTTCCCTTCTCTAGTGACTCTTTCCTCCTTTTTCTTCCCCATGAGGTAACAAATATGTATCATCTTAATATTGTAATTGTAAGGGGTAATTCAGTGAATAGTCCAACAGAATCATACTAGTCAGCCAAACGGCTATTTTTTTTTATTAGTAATTGTTATCCATTGGATATTATATTGTTTCCCAGCTACTTCATCTATCCATATTCCAATCTTATCTGCTATTCCTCAAACACAAGTCTTTCACTGCTGAGTCTTCATTATTTCAAAGAATTAAAGGGAGTTTGCAGAAGATCAGTAAAGTGACACTTTACGGAGGCTACTAAAACTTTTTTCCTATATTTAACATAACAGGAAAGTGGAAGTGAAGGAAAGCTAATTAGATATAGCAGTTCTTGACCTGAGTCTGTATTAAGTCTTAAAAAAACAGCCCTTAAAGGTTAACTCAATTGATTGTTAAACCTGAAGCCTAATTTACAGAAATCAAAATGAAAGCCACAACTATTATGAATAAAACTAGCAGAATAAAGGAAAAAGAATGGTAAAGCAGTCCTGTACAATCAGCTACAGCTGGTGGTGCTGAGCTGATGAAAGCTATGTAAGAAACCACTGAATTTGTGCGTACATCTTGTTTTGACTGAGGTTCATTATTCATCAGCTGCTTCCATTCCTGTGCCCCTGCAAGTGCAGGAAGACAAAACAATTCAACCAAAGTCTATTTGCCTTTGTCATGGTTTTAGCCATGACTCCTTTTTTCCAAATACAAAACAAAAAGAAACTTTCTGTCATCAGTCAGACATAGTTTTTTCCACAGCATTTTTTTTTTTTTTTTGCATCTGTGAAGAGTTTATATGCCTGAATTTTCTATAAAATTCCAATAAATGACTTTTTCACTGAACAGATTTCTAAGTGGAACATGAGTACCACCATCATGGGTCTGAGAGAGAGACAGTCCGTAGTAATGTGACACTGTTGGTTAAGTCAAAGTGCAGTGTCTTCACAGAACCTAGTTTTGTTTCTTCATATCATTACCTCTTCGCCGACCTCAATGGTGAAGATCCTGAACTTGCAGTTTCACTTCTGCTCATTTTCCCTGCAGGATGGTACAGTATTTGACGGCAGGCCAATAGAATCACTGTCTCTGATAGACGCGGTGATGCCTGATGTTGTACAGACCCGGCAGCAAGCATTCAGAGAGAAACTAGCTCAGCAACAAGCCAGCGCAGCGGCGGCAGCGGCAGGGCCGGGCGGGAAAACCGGGGG